TATATATATATATATACACCCACATATATTTATTTATTTATATTTATATCCCATTGGTTCTGTTTTTCTGGAGAACCCTAATACAGTTACTTACAACAACTAAGAGTGGAATATTCAATAAATACAAAAAATAGCATTTGGGAAAAATGGCTCCCCATATGGAAAAATAAAATTGTGTCATATGCCATATATAAACATAAATTCCAGATGGATGAAGGGGCTAATTGTTTTAAAGGTACAAAAGCATTATAAAAACACAAAAAATATTAATTGTGGAGTTTTTCTTAAGCAAGACACAAAATGCAGAAGCCGTAAAGGAATAGATTGTGAGATTTATCTAAAATGAAAATCCAAAATTTAAATTAAGTAAAGGACATCATAAGCAAAGTTAAATGACAAGGGATACAGTAAAAGAAAATATCTACAAATCAAGAAAAAAGGCGAACCATTCACTAGAAAAACAGGCAAAAGCTGTACATTGAATGGGCAATAAATACCTACAAGAAGTTGCTCAACCTCACTGGTAATGAGGGAAACCCAGATTAAAGAGTTATTTTTTCTTTCACCAGACTGTCAAAAGCAAAATGAAAAAACCCTGATATATTACCTTGTCTCTTTCATTTATGCCACTGGTGGAAGGGTACATTGGTAAAGTCTTTCGCAGGGCGATTCAGTGGAATCCATCAACATCAAAAGTTAACTCCCTTTAACTCAGCACTTCACTTCTGAGAATCTGCCCTTCTGAATATCTACGTACGTGCACAGAGATGCACATAAAAGGATGTGTGGTCCATCACCAGAACTGTGAAATCTAGCACTGTCCATCCCAATCAAAATGCCTCTGTGTGTCCTGTCATGCAAGCATCCTCAAGACCTCAATTCATTTTGATCAGGGAAAAAACAAATCGTGTCAACAATTACCCATTTCTGTAAAACTGAAAGAAACCACACACATACGGTTGCATGTATGTGATACGTGTAGGTAAATGTCTAGAGAAAGGGCTATAAGAACATACGTGAATCTGGGAGGTGGTGGAGAGAGATGATGACTTGTGTCAAAGAGGATGTTCATATTTTCTTCCAGGACTTGGTGCTGCTTGACTCATTCACACTGCAAGTGGAGGGAGAAGGTTTAAAAAGTAAACTGTTCCATAGTACACAGAGCAGTGTTCCCAACTGCCACTTGCAAAGGAAGGGGGTGTTTTCAGAACCTAGAGCCACCCCTTTCTAGATCCCTCCCCTAGCTGAGTGAGTGCAGTCTGGGTTGGGAGTTGTTCTCAGGGCTCTGTGAACTGGGCGTCTATCCTTGTGGACACGAGTGAGCCAGGCTCTGAGTGGGCATAAGACTCCATGCATGAACACCCCAGTCATTTCCCTTAACCAGGATGTCTCACCCCTTCCCCGCTGGACCCCGACGGCCCAGAGCTTCCACCCACCCACCCTGCTGCATCTTAAACCCAAGGCTGGCCCTTTTTTTTTTTTGCGGTATGCGGGCCTCTCACTGTTGTGGCCTCTCCCGTTGCGGAGCACAGGCTCCGGACGCGCAGGCTCAGTGGCCATGGCTCACGGGCCCACCCGCTCCGTGGCATGTGGGATCCTCCCAGACTGGGGCACGAACCCATGTCCCCTGCATCAGCAGGCGGACTCTCAACCACTGCTCCACCAGGGAAGCCCAAGGCTGGCCTTTTTTAGGAGCAGTGAAACAAGTCCTGATGATGGTAGTTTCTGGGCCTGAAATTTGTCTCCTGGAGGAGGGTAAGGTCAACCACAGTGACAAGCAAAACCAAGAGCGGGGGCAGTGGGTGGAGCAGCATGACGACTGTGGCCTTCATTTCCTCCAGGCAAAGAAACCTCAGAAGGCTGAAGTCAGGGCTTCCCAGCATTTTCACACTGAGGCTTATTGGGAAATTTCAAAAGTTGCCACCCACACCCTGACCCAGGAGGGAGAGGGGACTCCTTCTTCAGAGATTGGTTGGGTGTTGTGTGAGACCAAGTACCCTGCAGAGATAGGAGAGACTGGGAACTGGTTCCCCCTCTGGGGAGTTAAAGTGTTGGGAAGTCAAAATTTTAATCTTCTTCAGAAGTTAACATTTGAGTGTAGATTTGAACAGGTGAAGGATGAAGCCATGTGGATGTCAGAAGGAAGAGCATTCCAGGTACAGGGAACAGCAGTGCAAAGGCCCTGAGGTAGGATCATGTCTGATGCGTTGGAAGTACAGCAAGGAAGTCACTGTGGCTGGAGCTAAGTGAGTAGGGGGAGAGTAGAAGAAGACTAGATTGGACACGAAGGGAGGAAGGTGAAGAATGAGAACTACCTTGACATCTTGTAAGGACTTTGCCTTTTATTCTAGATGAATTAGGGAGCCATTGGCAGCCTAAGAGGCAGGGAGTGACTTGATCCAGCTAAGGTTTAACAGGATGGCTCTGGCTGCTGTGTTGAGAACAGACTAAATGAATAAGGGGAAAGCAGGGGGTCAGGGAAGCAGCAACTGAGTCCAAAAGAGAGATGGTAGAGCTGAGATTTTCTTGACAGAGTGGCCGGCATCACTTGGAGGGCCTGTGATACTCTTTGGGGGACAGGGACTCCTTAGAACAAGGGATGCAATGTGCATACCACTTCTCTGGGTGCTGCTACCCCTTGAAGTTGTTACTGCTGTTAGTCTGGGGCGGGGGCCTAGGAATTAGCATTTTTGCATGTTCCCAGGTGATACTACTGCTGGTCTGGGAACATTGACAACCACTAGCTTTTTCTTCCTAGCACTGATGAAAATGTGCAATTGATGTTTATCATACCTCCTCAAGGAAGCTCTTTAGTCACCCCTGCATCCCAGGGCCAACCATGATGCCTGGCATTAATGTCTTGAGCTTGGCTCTGGGCCAGGCATGGTGCTACCTGGAATGAAGGTCTTGAGGATCCCTGGTCTGAATGGTTGGAGATAACTGGTGATGAAATTTCCAGGAAGTGGTCATTAGAGGGAAGAGGTTAATTATAATAACAACAACAATGGATGTGACACCCACCCATTCCTGTGTCTGCCTAGGTGTTTTACTGACATCTTCTCCAATTAAATCCTGTAAAAGCCCTGTGAATCTGGCATTATCCCCCTTATTTTATAAATGAGGAAACCAGAGGCTCAGAGAGTTTAAGTAATTTTCCCAAGGTCACACCACTAACAAGTACCAGAGCCCAGCCAGGCCTGACTGCCAGACAGTTCCGTGCTCTGCTGACACCACACTCTCCCTCAAGAAGTCACTGATAAGAGGAGATTGCCTTGAAGACAGGGGCTTCCTTACAGGGGGACTGTGAGTCATTTTAAAAAATGCCGGGAAGATGCCATCCTTTAAAAAAACTCCTACTGTCTGAATTGAGAGCCTGTTCACACAGCACATTACCAGCCCCAAGTCCTTTTTTTTTTTTTTTTTTTGCGGTACGCGGGCCTCTCACTGTTGTGGCCTCTCCCGTTGCGGAGCACAGGCTCCGGACGCGCAGGCTCAGCGGCCATGGCTCACGGGCCCAGCCGCTCCGCGGCATGTGGGATCCTCCCGGACCGGGGCACGAACCCGCGTCCCCTGCATCGGCAGGAGGACTCTCAACCACTGCGCCACCAGGGAAGCCCCCCAAGCCCTTCTTGACAGAGCCCTGGTCCCCTAATAAGTAGCAGTGGCTGCCCCAAGAGAAGTATTTTTGCTGACCTTTGTGACTTTATCGTTCTCAGGTGGAGCACTTTTCCTCAGCCCTCACCCTCTTCTCAGCCTCCTCCTGTAGAATGATGGGCACAGTATTCTGTGCTGGGGAGTTGAGGCTTGACAAATCAAGGCTGGTTTATCTCTAAACTCAATCCATCCCTCTCAGTAGAGAAGGAGAAAATCAAGTTCCAGGACTTCCCGCCTCATCAACCCGGCTCTTCCGCCACCCACCCCAGAGGATAAAAATAGCATCCTCCCAGGGCCTCACTGCTCTTGCAGCAACTGTGCACTGAAGCTGGGCCTGCCCCGGGAGCAGCTGTTCCCAGAGGCACAGGCCTGGTGGGAGGCATAGGGTCAGGGCAGGGGCTAGGCTGCCCACAGGGGCTAGGTGACCCAGGCCTGGCCGGGATGCTTGGAAACCTCACGAAGAGAGGCGGCACCTGGAGCAGGTTTGACCGCGACACATCAATAAATACGTCACAAGGTGCACCAGCTCGCTGGTCGGCCTTTAAAAGAGATGAGGTGTATCCGTGATTCTTAACGTTTTTCAGGGACAAGGACTCCCTAGAACAAATGAGGAGATGTACATATCACTTCTCTGTGTGTGCTCAAGCCCACACACAGCACACACTGAGAGGCAGACACACACTTTTGCACACAACTTCATATGCGGGGGGGAGCTGTCAAAGTCCAGCATGGACCACGGGTTGACAGCCCCAAATTCAGGTTGATTATAGAGACGCAAAACGATTATAAAAAATAAAAATTTGTAATGTGTAGGAGGAATAAGGTTAAAGTTTGCAGTTTGCTCAACAAGATCTTCTTGGAAAGTAAAAGTATATAGTATATATCCATCAAAACAGACACAGAAATGTTAATGTTGACGTCCGTTGGTAGGATAAAAGGTATTTTCTCTTTTTCTCTCCAAATGAAAAGCATGTTTCTCTTTTGCCATCAGAGCGGCCGCATCCAGGCATTTCCCTGTATCTGGAAGCCTACTCGGCTGCAGGCGCTGCCCGGGCCTGCCTGCCTGGACCCTCCATCCCGGGCGGGGGTATGTGTGGTACAGACAATAGGCAAGCAAACATCAGGTTGGTGACAACGTGGGGCGGGGACGGGCTCCTTTACAGGGTGACCGGGGAGCCCCTGGCCTTCAGAGACCCTGGAAACCCAAAGCGCTACTCGCCGGGCTCGGGCCCGCACGGAGGAGGCAGTGCGTGCGTGCGCGCTCTCGAGGCGGCGGCGGCGCGCGCACGCGCGCCACCGCGGCCCGCCTCCCGCAGCGGAAGATGCGGCCGAGGAGGGCGGCGGCGGCGGCGCGGTCCGGCGGTCTGAAGCGGCGGCAGGCTGCCACGGGCCGGCGGCGCGATGAGCTGGGCGGCCGCCCCCGGCTCGGGGCTGTGAGGGGCTCGGGGCCGGGGGTGGGCGGCGGCGGCGCGGCGGGCGGCCCACGCTTCTTCTCGGCGGCGGCGGCGGCGGTGGCCATGCGCAGGACGGCGCGGCCGGGGCCGCCGGGCCGGGGCCGCCTCCCGTGGACCCGCGGCCTGAGGGCCCCGCCGCCGCCGCTGCTGCTCCTGCTCGCGCTGCTGCCGCTGCTGCTCGCACCAGGCGCCGCCGCCGCCCCTGCCCCGAGGCCGCCGGCGCTGCCTCCCGCGTCTGCCGGGCCCAGCGTGAGCCTCTACCTGAGCGAGGATGAGGTGCGCCGGCTTATCGGTGAGTGGGGCCGCCTGCGCCGGGGTGGGCAGGTAGGGTCGGGCCCCGGTGCTTCCGGCCGCCGGCGGCCCAGTCCGCGCGACCTGGACCGCGGGCGGGCAGGCCCCAGCGCCCCGGGTCGCCTCTGGGCCCCGGCCTTTGCCTGCCTTGCTGGCCGGGAGGTGTGGTCCCTGCCCGGCCCCCGCCCCGGGCCAGCCTTCCGGCCTCCCCCGCACGTCGCGGAAAGACCCGGGGACCCCTCGGCCCCCGGCGATCTACCCCATTCCAGCCTGCTTACAGCCTCTTTAGCCTTTCGCCTTATTCCCTAGAGGCAGACTCTTCTTCCCTGCCGCTCCAAGTTTCTTCGACCTTTCCTCAACGTGTCACTCTAGGGCCCTGGATTTTGGATACTCGAAATCCACGTTTTATTTAGGTTAAATATGCTGTGGCTTTGATGCCCCAGTAGAGGCCACACTACGGTGCTCATACTTTCTGGTTATCGTAGTTTTTTGTTTTGTTTTGTTTTTAAATGAGAGACAGAGATTGGTTATAAGGGCACTACATGTCCGTGACAGTCTCCAAATCTTGGGACCGATAAGCGTATTTTACAACAGTGAATGAATCTCCAGGTAGCCGACCTTTTAGCTTTTTCAGTACCTTTTTGGTTCTTGTGTTGGAGTTTGGACTGATTCTGAATTTCTGGGCCCCTCTTCTACTTAGAATACCTTGTAAGAAAAGGAGAACTTGGCTTTGGGTCAGTTGGTGGTTCTGTGCTACCTAATTAGCTTTGTCATTGGGGAATTAATTTGAAAAATGTGACTTTGTGGATTCTGGAAATGACCCCTTAGAGGAAGGTCTGATAGAAATGGCCCCAAATGGGAAGTCTTTGGTAGCTGCAGATAGCTATACATTCACTTTCTTTTGTGTATTATGGGCCAGAAAACCACATTTTTTTTCATTTTTATTTCATCTCAGATTTGTGGTGCATCTAAGGGTTTGAGGGGAAAAATTATTCTTTTAAGCATCCATTAGCTGTCATTTTATTCAATTTTTTTTGTTATAAGACTTTCTTGAGGTCTACTGAAGTCCACTCAGTGTTAAAATGGAACTGCTTTTAAGCAGGCTGTTTAGACATTGTTATATATACGGGTTTGTCCCCTTTAACCAAAGAATGCTGTGTTTTTGTAATGTCCTGCTGGTCTGTAATCCTCTTTTTAGTCTGGTGGAATTAGCTGAATTTAATTTAGCTAAGTTAAAACAGCAAATTGGATTAGTACTTGAAACAAGACTAAGGTTTAGGAAAAATAATGAATGCTTATAAATTGACTCATAACATTAATTTAAAAAATATTAATGTATTATGCATGGTTTTGTAAAGGTTTTTTTGGTTAAAAGCGTGTATATAATTTGTGACTTTGTTTACATGTAAGAAACCAATTGAGGTAGGGGACATGGCACAACCAGAGGCTGACATTGATTGAGTGCCTGCCATATACTTCCTCCTACATGTTTTATACACATTATTTCCTCTAATTTTCTTGTGATCCAGTGAGGTGGATATCATTATTCCTCTTTTAGAGATGAGGAAAGTGAGACTTTAACTTGCTCAAGGTCACACATTTAATAATCTTTTTTTAAAAATAATCAAACATAGTGTTGACATAGGCCACAACAAGTTTCAAATTTCATTGAATGAAATAAAGATATTTATATAGAAGTTTGATTATGGCATGGTGGAAAAGAAGTCATTGCTAATTAATACTTGAAATGATGTATTTGTTACCTGATTGATGAGCATCCAGTTTGTGCCCAGGAATGAGCTGTTGGGAAGAGGGGAGGGAGGATTTCCTCACTGATCAACCTTGGTCCACCTCTGGGACAAGGGGAACCTTCAGTAGTATTTTCTCTAATGCAAACAGAGTTGACCTGTTACAGTGGGTCTCTTGACTCTCCATCCTGCCAGATCCAGGTCCTCTCCTTCCTTCCATCTTCCTCATCTATTCTGACTTTAGTTTTTGGCTGCCCCTGGCTGGGGAAGAACAATTGGGTGGGGCTGAGATGTATACCAGGCATACTGATTTCTCAGAATGCAGTTTCCCACAGGAACTCTTATGCTTATGGTGTTTAAGACTACTTGAAATACTTTGTACCATGTTTTTGTATCATTATGGGTTAAATGCCTTCTGAAAGCTGACTTGGGAAACTAACCATCACTTTATAATATTTGTAAGACAATGAATTTGCAATTCCAAGTATGAAACTTATAAATAAAGTTGGTAGTGACATCTTTATAAATTGAACTGATTGTTCTTGACATGGGAATAAGTTGTTTTAATCCGATTCATATATGCACATAGTTAAAAAAAGAAATCAAATAGTGCTAAAAGACCTCAAATGAAAAAACAGCAGTCTTCTGCCTTTGGCCTTTTTATCCTCCGGGCCCTACTTTCTAGTGGAAGCTACTATCCCAAGCTAGCTCTTTTTTTTTTTTTTTTCCCTGTTTTTTTTTTACTTTTCATATTTTGAAATCAATGTAGAATAAGCATTTCACTTCCTAGTATCATAACTGAGCAGTTGTCCTCTTCTCTTGCCCAAATCCCCCAATATAGTTACATCATTTTTAGTAAAACCAGCAGTCTGTATTTAGATTATTGTATATTTATATTTACAATATATTTATATTGTAAATTTTTATTATACATTATTATATGTATACATGTACGTATACGTACACACACACACACATATATAAACTCACTTGTGAGTTAAATAGTGACCCATGGTTATGTTTTCTTCTCCTGTATGTTATTGTTTTTCCTGGAGCAAATAAACTATAAACTTTTTGAGTCTTTTCTGTATCTATGGCTACAATCTCTCATACACTCCAAGAAATATGTTAAATGCCTTTTGATATTTTTTTTCCAGGTAACACATCAAATCATCTATCACTTTCACTTGGTTTCCTCTTAGAGACTCCCTGCTTTGGAGCCTTCCATCCTCTTCTTCCAATCTGGACAGTAGGATTATTTTTCCTGCACATACTGTACCCTTCTCTCCTGTCTTGGAGCCTCTGTTTCCTGAATCTTCTGTCTTCCTTTTTCTTTGTTTGCTTCATTTTGCTAAAGTATATCCTCAGTAGCTTACTGAGAAGGGTTGCATGGGAGGTAAATAATTTGAAGCCTTATATGTCTGAAGGTGTCTATCCTATCCTCATGCTTTATAGGTGATTTGGCTGAATTTAGAATATTAGACAGAAAAAAAAATATATTTTCCCGATTTTTGGTGGCATTTTTACACAGTTTTCTGGCTTTAAGGGTTTCTGATGAAAAATCCAAAATCATTCTGATTCCTTTTTTTCCTTGTGTGTTTTTTTTCTTTTTTTTTTTTTTTTTGGTTGTTGTTGTTTGTTTGTTTTCTGTTTTTTGAGCTTAGGGTCTTTGTCTTTAAAAAAATTCTGTAATTTTATCAGCTTCTGTGTGGGTCCTTCCTTCTGTTTGTGGTCCCTAAGACGCCCTTTCAATCTAGAGACTCATATCCTTCAGTTTTCAAAAATGTCTGTTACTTCTGATAATTTCCTACCCATCACTTGTTTTGTTTCTGAGATATCTATTGGTTTGGTTATTGAATCTTCTGGAATTGATCTTCAGATACTCAACGTATGTTGCCTCTTATTTACATCTCTATGTTTGGAGGTGGGAAGAGGGGGAAATTTTCTCAATTTTGTCTTCCAAGCTCTTTTATTTTTAAAATTTTAATGATGATTTTAAATTTTAGAACTCTTTGTTTTCTGTTTCCATTTCCATTTCATTTTATTCTAATTTTATGGATGTATTATCTTCACTTATCTTTGAGGCATGTGTTTGTTGTTTTTAATTTTTTCTGTATGTTTAACATTTTTAAAATATTTCTTCTGCTTCCTCCAATGTGCCTGTTCATTTCAGAGTTCTTTTTCTGTTCATTTAGATAGTATCTGTTGATCCTTGGCTGTCTGTAATTAAGAGTGAGATGCTGAAAAGTTGATTAGGGGAGGGCAAGCTTGTGGGTGGGTAGGTGGGTGGTCTATTGGCCTCCCTTGGAATGTGGGTGAACGTTTCATTGGGAGCCCCCCCGCACACACACATATCAGCACCTTCACAGTTTCTTTGGGACTGGTCAGTGTCTGCAGAGAAGACACCTGCAGTCTGCTGCCTCTGGTGTGCTTGGTGGTACACCAGCCTCTGTGGTTCAGTTTTTTCAGAAAAACTTTGGGTCTCTTGCTGGACCTGGGGGCCCAACTGCTTTGAATGCCCCTCATCAGAGGCTCCCCCTTTGACAGGCCAGAGCCTCAAGCCAGCCTTTGGTGGCCCTTGTTGCATCCAGGGCTGAGTCCCTCTAGAGGTTCTGAGAGGCAGTGACCACCCCTTCAACTGCTTCCCATCTTGCAAAAGTTTGTTGAAATATATGTTGTGTTGTCTTCTTTCCCTTTCTGTGTTTGTGGTTTAATGTCTTTGTGATTTCATTACTGTCATTTTAGAGGAGTCCTAGGAGGATGGGGGTAAAGGCAAGTGGTCATTCTACAGTGTGTAAATGGTTGGGCTTTGACTATTGAAGAGCTGGTGATGTGTAGTTTTTTGGTACTAACAGTATTAGGAAGAGTAGTGGTGGTGGTCACAGAAATGGTTGACACTTGAATTTAGAGTGCTGCTGACGTGTGGCAATCTTGCCTGTGTCAGGTACAAAAGTAATCCCTGTTTTGGGTGTGTATTGTTACTTCCATAATATAGATGAGGAAACAGACGTGCAGGAAGTATGTAACTAGCTCATTCCTTGGTAGTAGGGCATGCAGTCTTGATAGAAGTCCATCGGTATAGAGACTCCAAAAGCCTCAGATGTTTTATGTGGCATCCCTGTGTCCCCAGGCCCTGCTTAGGCTGCAGTGTAGGCATCCATTTCTCCATTTTACTGATGAAGACTGATCTGGGGCCCTTTGGGCAGTGAATAGAGGGCCAGGTCTTGACTCAGTCTGGAATCCATATCGCCTC